TCCCCCCCCCCCCCCCGCGCTCTTCATATAATAATGATAATAGCGCGCTGTTCACAATTATTATTACATATTAATCCTTAAATAATTAAGATTTATTTTAAACTCATAAAAAGAAATAAGAGCTAAATGAGGCATAACAAGGACCACAAGATACTTTAAGCAAAAAGCAGGGGCCTACTTTAATTTTTCTTGAAACTTACAAAAGAACTAACGTACATGTACTTGCCGTTGAAAGCGGTGTTTGTCTCATTGACTATGGTTCTATCATACATGTATTAATACTATTGTTCAGGCTAGGATCCTTTAAAAATCTGCAGACGAGTAACTTTCTGATTTTGTTTACTATCACTTGAGATACAGGTAGCCAATGTAGATCATGGAGAACTGGTGTGATGTGATGAAAATTGTGAGTTCTACCTAAGATCTAATAAACGGTATATTAGATCTTAGGTTCTACGAAGGAGACGTGCTGCTGAATTTAAAGACGTTTTACAAGTTGATACTTCAGGTACTCCAAACAAGAGGTTATTTTATTCATCGAGTCTAGAAGTCAAATTCATTCGCACAAGCCGCCATGGCTTTTTCATCACCGTGTTATCAAATTCGATACCATCCCTCTTCCTCCCCTTCAACTTGATAACCCTCAACGTCCCCAAACATACTGATTAAAAAAATCTACATCACGCTTTCAAAATTTAAACCCACGTTTTCCCGTCTATTCTATTTATATTATTTGTGTTGTCACGCTGCTTTTATCCTGTGGAGTATACCTGAAGCTTTATTGACAAACGTATGGATGACTTCACTGTCAGATTCAACTTGAATGCATTTAAGTAATATCGGAAGTGAGAGGAAATGAGTAATAAGCTTTGTTGGTTATAAGAGAAAAGGTTTTTCATTGCGTAACATGAGAAATCCTAGGAAGAAACTATCTGACACTTGGGGTGTGAACGGACGACTGTAGTCTGGGATATTCCTCACGAAATCGTTAATTCAAATTGAAATTGATCAGAGAAGCGTTGTATCTGAAATACTGTTTGCTGAAGGGATAATATGTGCGATTTAAGTCATAAAGTTACAGCTGGAGACGTGGAAAAAAATCACTCAGACGCAGTCAATTCAGATTCCCCTCCATTAAACCGAGGTTGTTTAAATACTGGATGTCCCATTACGGATTGCATGACAATCGCTAACCTTAATTTCAGGATTTTTCTGTCGATTAACGCTGCAAACAAAGCAGATTACACTGCCTAGTGACCATTCATCTTCTGTTTACTTACAGATAATGATGGAGCTCAATCCATTCCTCATATCTTCCTGTAAGTGAGCCAGCCATCAGTAGTGAACCGTAGTTCAAGAATAATTGTGTGAAAAGACGAAGGGTAACTGTGTGAAAAGACGAAGGATAGCTGTTTATTTTTTTAACGAAGGATAACCCGTGACACAGTTACAAGGATCTAAACATGATGTAGGTGCCAGTCAACTGCTGACATGTTTAAGTAACAAGGAAGATGAAATATGATATTGATATCCAATTTCAGTGTGTGCATTCAAAACCAGGATTTAGCCATTGGAGATAAGTGCTACACTTAGATAGCAGTTTTGGGATTAAGAGATCTGTGATTTTATTTAGATTTGATACAGCGAGAGTATACTTCGACAAAGTCCATCGGGAAATGTATCAATCAAAACAAAAACTCCTTTACTGGAAGATGTTAGCCCTGGAACTTGGATGTATTTTCGTTTTGTTCCAAACTGGGATTCGGAGGGTTGAAGGAGCCGCCTTCGTGCCGCCGACTCAGCCTACAGGGCCCTGCACAATAGTAGGGGAGGGTTCTGCCACGGTCATCGCAGATTGCCAGGCAAAAAATATAATTGATCTCCGTGATATTCTGGTAGGAGACGTTCCCTTGATACCAAGAGAAACGAATATACTGTAAGTAACATGCATATACATGTATAACTGACAGCGATTCGTTCTCAGCCACAATCAACCTTAGCTGATTTTTTATGTTTCCTAAAACTTGGCAATCGACTAGAGGGTCCAATGACTGCCCCTATCGACTCTGAGTATTTAAATATATTAAATTTTATTTTGATATAAAAGGAGAAGAATGTTAATGTGTATGTCTTTTTTCCTTGCCTCAGATTACTTAGTTACAACAAGTTTACCGAAGTGCCAGCAGGAATATTTCGAAATCTCACGAATCTAAGATCACTGTAAGTATATCCTTTTTTAGCACAAAAACTTCTGAAGTCTACTGCAAAATTATTGTATCGTTTATACTTTAATTTTGTATACTATATCTTAGAGTCCCTTAATATCAAAAGGTAGTGGGTATAAATGGAATGTGACTGAAAATGACTGTCAGATCCTTCATAGTTTAAAATCACTTCAAAGAAAGCACTCTGCGTTTTACGACGTTCTTCTTCAAGGTACACCCTTACTGTTTTAGTGCAGAGATGTACTGGTACGTTTCAGATTCTGTATGTTTCTGAAGGGAGGCGACGTTCAAGCCAATTTTGGAATGCGTTATGAAGGGTGGGGGGTTTCATTAGGACATAGAAATTTCAAGCGAGGGTGGAATAATTTAATACCAAATTTTTAGAGTCTTAGAATTTTAACTAACATCTTCGTTGTTGCCAGTATCAATTATGAACGTTTGTTTTCATAAAACTATGATATTCATGTTGGGAAGTCTGTGTGGGAGAAAAAAAACAACATTCTGGGATAACAATCTAATATAATGGTCGCAATAAAGTCCGTGTGAACAGTGATGAAAAGGACTTGACATTGATAGTATGGATGATATTGGACATGCTATCTTACACTGTAAGGGTGTTATTACGAGTACAGATTGTTAAGACTAAAAATACATTTTAACTTACTGGACGGACATTTTAAAATATGCGCAGGATATCCATTTAACATCAAAAATAAAATATATTTAAGGCTCGACTGTCATCACTATTTATATGCTTCTACTTGTATTGACAAAACATTCACTGATAACTTTGCTGTTTTCAGTTACATGCAGTTGAACAATCCTCCAATAGAGTGGATCGAAGAGAGAGCATTCGAAGGATTACACAGATTAGTTACTCTGTAAGGCTAATAGACTTTATTCTAAACTTTGTTTTTAACTGCCGTTGTGGAGGCGCTCCATATACAACTGAAATGAAATGAGACACATCTTAAAACACGATTTTCTTTTCTTACTTTTTACCTTAGCCTACTTACAAGGAAAAAACAAACAATCAAAGAAGTCCAGGACATTTATATATAAGGGCGTTATTTTTGAAAAGCTATAAATGAAATTAATTACAACAGCTCAATAAGGAAATTGTTCAAGCTTTTTGCCTTTTGTTTAATTTTCAGGTCAATCCATTCCAATGTAGTGGAAAAAATCCACCGAGACACATTTTACGGTCTATCGGCAGTGGCCAATTTGTAAGTAAGGTTAAATAATATATGTACACGGTAAATTTTCATGTATTTGCTAATGATATGTCAAGTACTTCAGACTATTAAATAGGTAATATATTGCAACTGTAACTATAATGACTCCAACGAGTATAAATATCTGCAGTGTTGTTGCAATGTATGTGCGTACTCTTGTTAGAACATGAAATCTTTGGTTATATATCTAACTGTTTTTTTCCCTAGGACATTAAATCCTATCCAATCGTTTGCTCCGGATGCATTTATCCACACCCCAAGATTAACAAATCTGTAAGTAATTCATTTATTCGTGGACAGTATACAGGCCTTAATTGTTATTCTCCATGTTCATACACGTACATGTACATGTACATGTTCAAATGACAACAAAAAAAGTAAAATTTAATTGTGCTTAAGATGAAAGGAAAGCATGTATTACCATGAACCAAGGAGTTATAACTCCTTGCATGAACAGACTCAAACCATCAACTGCAGACAACTGGTGGAAAATCTACCGTGCAATGACTCGGCCTAATTATTTTAAAATGAAATCGAAAGCGAGTTAGTTTGTATCGGTTGCAATTTGTGTTCATTTTGACATGTCTGACCAGTGAGCTTTACCAGTGCGGTCCAAAAAGCAGCCTTTAAAAGAACGATATAATTTGCGTATAAAACACTAAACAGACTCAATAAGAAAGGCAGGAACAAGATGCAGGTTAAAGATAGGGTTAATTTTGTACACTTGACTTTTGAAGGGCTTCTTATTCGCTGAAGTGCAAAAATATGAAAGCAAAAAGGAGCATCAACATTGGTGCCTAGGTCTAGATAATATATAGATTACCCCTGTTGGTGCCTGTACATCTAGTACATTTAGATGTACTTAACAGTAGTTTGTAGTATGCAGCAATCCTTAATACACGTGGGTCTTTGACTTCTGTTTGTTTTATTTGTCAACTTTTATCAATGTCTCTGCTAGTGACATAAATTAGTTTTATTATTGACTTTCTTTTCTTTTTTTTTATGTTCACCCCTGAAATTTCCTCAGATCTCAATATGTGAATACACTTGGACCAAGGAATTGTACCTTCTTGGTTGAACTTAGTGACTTGTCTTGAGAAATCGGTGGCTTGAGAAACCATGTGCTCTTTATTCTGTCTGTACTAGTACTAACTCCAGTGCATAATTGATGATGTAAAATCTACATATAATATATATATAAGATACTGGGTATATGACACACAACGTGTAAAGTCTTATTACTACATTACACTAAGTTGAAGTTTAATTTTCTTGTAAAAAGATAAAATCCATTAACTAAATGCCAGACTAGTTTATTTAAATAATAGACATTGATCAAAGTCACCACATGGCTGAGCAAAGAAGAAAAAAAAAAAAATTAAAGTCTAAGATGGGAGGTGGGAGAGGAGGCATATTCTAGTACTGGTGGTGTAGTACATGTTAGTACCAGCATTGGTATATGGTATATGTCTAATTAATGGGTTTTCTTCCTGTTCCCTTAGCCAAATCCTGGACCTGCCATTGCCTTATGATATACATCGATTTACATACAGTTCAATTAATGAATCAATTATACTTAATTACAGAGATCTGACCATGAGCTGCACACTTCCATCAGTTGGTGTGTACAAATTCCTCCTACAGAGACCTTCTCAAGTGCATATTATAGGCAGCATTCAGTGCACACAAGGGGGAAATCTAAGGCAGGCTCTCCAAGCATTAGGAGTTGACCCAGGTTTGAGGGCTGTTTGTTTGTCTGAAATTTTGGTAATGGAACACATGGATTTTGTGTGCTATAAAAGCAGACCTGTATGCAGGCCTGTAACTGGAGCGAGGGGAGTGAAATTTTTGTGGGAAAAGATACACTTTTACAGAAAAAGAACTCCCCCCCTTTGAAATTTCTGGCTATATGGGTATTGACAAAGCCCATGTGATTATATGCACCTCCTAAAACATTCTACTTATATCAAAATCACAGCTTTGTGAGCATTTACTTTTGTGTCCCATCATAACGTTTGTTGTATAGTGGTTATTGCGACTAGTGCACATTGCAGAGAAGAAACACAACACTTTTAAAATGTTCAATCATTAGCTAAAGATAGCTTTTTTTTGGATAATGCCCTATACATGACACTTTTTGTTGCAGTTGCGGTTGTACCAGATAGTATATTGTTATTCTCAGGAGAATGACATTGCAACTGCAAAGAAAGTTCAGTTGTGTTTTTAAAAATTTTCAGACCTGCCAGCCAGTAACATGTGCTACACTTGCACTAATGTTGATGATTACCGAGACTGTGAACAGCCCCAAAGTTGCAGGACAGGATTTGTAAGTATTTACCTATTTAGATATACTGTCAACCTGAACATTGCTGTACAGTTTTCAGGTAATCTATGGGATGGCTATATTGCTATATTCTTCAGTATTGCTTAATAACCATCTTTGTATGTATATTTATATATATATATAATGTAATTTAATCCATTTTCAAATTAATAATTAAATATATGGTAGCATGATGGTTTCAAATTCTCTCTGATGGTAATTATTGTAACATATTTAATGCAAGGTTTATATGAATGGAATTTTTGCAAAATGCCAAAAATAATTTTAAGTTAAAAAGAATTAAGAAACCTTTTTACTATGAATTATTGGGCCAGGCACAGTAAAATGGTATATGCAGTAATGCTTTTGTGACCCTTGCTTTTGAGATGTTGGATAGACTCCTAGCACTATACATAGTACATGTAAAGGTGTATGTGCACCTTATTATTTCAGAATTCTTGTGGAAGTTTTTTTAATCAAACGAAAAGTGGTCTTAGAATTACCAAGGGATGCATGAATTTGGATGCATGTATGAACCGGACAGCAAGAATGAATCCAGCCAGGTGCTATGAAGAGAATTCCACCTTTGCCTGTTCCACCTGCTGTCTTGGAGATAACTGTAATAGTTTAGGACAGTCTAATAGAACAGGCATGTATCAAACATTATGGTCTTGTAAGCCCGTTGTATCCATTTATTTTTATTTACTTATTTGGAGGGTGGATGCTGACACAATAGATTTTTACTGTATTTTCATTTATTAAATCCAAAGTCATAGTTTGTTATGAAATCGTTGACACATTTGCCAAAGAAAGTTTTATTTTTTTTCAAGATTTTCTTAGGATTAATACAATCAAAGTAGAATAGTCATTTAGACTCCATAAACAGTAAAAAGGGACAAAAAATATAAAAAAAGTTTTGCCTAAAAGTAACGGTACATTACATGTAGTTTTGCTGGCCATATAGATTGTCTGTATTTCCTAACTGGAAAGATGGGGGAAGGGAGTGGACAAACCATTTTTTCCAGATATTTAGAAAATATCTAAATATTTTTGAGAGTTGAGAGTAGGCCACACCTGATTCAGGAATGGCTTGTTACAAGGTTGCATTCTCAAACCACTCTTTACAACTTAACTGTACAATGCAAAGGGTTCCAAGACTGACAGTGTAGAGTAAGTTCTTTTTGTTTTATTTTTCTTTGATGATTGTTACAGAACAGTCTGTACATTTGGTCAGGTGTGGGAGTCTAGTCTTGGTGCTAGAGCAGGAGCTGGAGCTGTTTTAACAGCTAAGATATATTAAAACAATTCTTGTTTTGATTTTCAGAGGTACAGCGCAATTTTAACATACTGTTTACCCATGACATCTCTCCATCCTCACCAGCATACCAGACTCTTTGGCCTATATTCCACACCAAGGTATGTAGTGCAAATTAGAATTTTGTTGAGGTAACCTTTTTCAAAAGATACTGGTATCTGTAATTTCTGTGACTTGCAAGTCTGTTGTTTCACAAGCTTATAACATTGCAGATTTTTTTTTAATGAGAAAGAAATTGTTTTTCAGTTAGAGAAAGTTTTGCATGAAGTAATACCTGGAAGACATGAAATTGAAATTGTATCCATAAAACCAAGGTAGGTTATTTTTTATTTCATGTATCTGTACATGCACAAAAATGGTCTGATTATAAATGCAGTCAGAGAAAAATGAGGGTAAACTACAGAATGAATTGGTAATTATTTTTTGAAATTTTTTCTTGTTTTGGTGCAATATTTTGGAAAGGACTTACTATTGCTATGAGTTAATGGAAATAAGGGCATGTGTGGACAAAAACTCCATTAAGACATTGCTGAATGAAGCAATAAACCTAACCTATCTATTAGTTTGATAATTAAAGGTGCTGTAGAATGTTTTATAACTGCACTGTATTTATATATGAATCTGTCTTACATGTATTTGATATTTTGCATCAATTTATTTTTAATTACAGTCCAGTAAGTACTTTCAGTGGTGTGGTTTCTAATGTCACTATCCGCAGCTTTATCGACAGTTCTTTAAATGTTTCTGTCACAAGAGGAAATATCAGCAGAGAAATCAACAGAGCAGTACAAAACAATGAATTGGTTGATGTTGCTTTGAGTGGACTGCGGCATTTTCCAGAGCTTGTGTGGGGTAAATTACATCAAATTATTCATTGATTAACATTTCTTTAGCTGTATAAAAATAAAATGTACCATAAAATTTCCTATTTGATGAAATATTGCTGAAAAATGATGATGAACTTAATAATTTCAATTAAAACACTTTTAAAATAAATTTCTAATTTTTTTTCAGGTTTGTGTTTACATACTGTTGACAATAGCAGCCATGGTGTTTATCAGTGGAGACGAAGATGGACCAACGCAACAATTGTGACAAGATCTTTTTATTTGCCCTGTGTGCACCATCTTAGAAATCCTAATACCACTGCTGTTAAACAGTGGTAAGTGCATGTCGTTATATAAATGTCATCTGTTTTAAACACTGCACCAAAATTTGAAAAAGGCTGATCCTAAGTATTTATTTGAAAAGTACAGTATGCTATAAATGTACGTATATGTGGAGGAGGGCTTCACTTGGAGACAGGATGAGAGCTAATTTTCAAGATGCTGTATGATATGTGATTGGTCAGCTTTTAAATTGCGTTTTCAATATTTCAACTCTTCTGTCTGTGTCTGTCCCCAACTTTGTCTTATTTCGGATTATATTTGTTTTTTCAGTACAATGGATGTGTCGTCAGGTATTGTATACTGGTTGCCAACAAATTTTGAGAACTGCACGACAAAGACCACTGAAGGACTCCATAATTTAAATGCCACAAAAATTAACAGAAGTAAGTTCCTTTTTACTTTTTTTCTGCCCATCAAAAGATTTAAGCATAGTTTTAAGTACATACTTGGATAATAATGATTTCATTGAGTAGTCATCCTTTCCTCATAGTTTTTTAATAGTAAATTAATGTAAATGGTTCTTTTCCTATATAAAGTTTTCAGATACAGAAATGCTTTACTGGAAGGATTCATTGATACTTATACAAAGACAAATATGTATTTTTTGTAGATAATGTTCAGCAAGTATCACAAGTCCTGAGTAATGTAACATCCAACTCTGAAGAATTATCAGGCACTGATGTTGAAATTGCCACAGATGTTTTGGACAGCATTTTGACATTAAATTCAACAGAGGTGGCACGTGTGGCAAAAGATGTTGTCCTAACACAGAGTAACTTGCTGGGGAGTGGTCAGAACTCTTTGCTACAGTCAGAAACAAACACCCAGTCAGTGAACAGGTAAAACTGATATCATTAATTTTACAGATATGAGCCAGTAGTTTGCCATTGAAGAGACAGTACACATACATTAATAGTTTTCTTAATTAAAACTATTTTTTGTATTATTCCAATTGTCAATTCATTTTTGATTTATTATATATGCATTTTAACCCTCCTATTAAGTGCACTGTATATTTTTCCCATTCGAATTAGGCTATGGTAGATTATCTTTAATAAGTCTTTTGTCAATGTTGCAGGATACTACGGGGTATTGATACTTTTGCTGAAAGAGTTGATATTGAGGGAACAAATCTGACCATTGTGGCCCCAAATTTAGCAGTGTCAGTTGTCTCAGCAAATGCAGCAGACCCAGAATTCAGTGGTTTAGGATTTGATAGTGTGTCTGATGAAAGACATGATGTTCCTCATGAGGACACTGTAAGTGAGACTGAGATGTAGAAATGTAATGATGATAATTGGTGACAATTGGCAGGGGGGCAGTTACTACGTGTAGTACATTATGGAACAGCCACTGATAAAAGGTGCTCCATGGCAATACATAAATTAAGCCCATATATAAAAATATATGGAAACTTGATCTATTCAGAACCAAGGCCTAATGTAATTGTTATTGTTTTTAACTTGAAACTTATAAGGGCTACTGTCTCTTTGTTAGCTAAATAAGGATTAAATTTTCCAATTAAACACATCATTTAATTTAATTGTGACAATGTTTTAATAATAATAATAATAATATTTATTTCTTAAAACCGCACTACACTACCGTCTCAGTGCTGTTTACAGGTAAAATTATCAGGATTACAACTAAATATATAGATAATAAAAGCTAAGGTAAAAAACAATTAAAATAATTTTTAGAAAATATTTTTATGTCATCTAGGTTAGACTTGTGGGGTCTGAGAATGAACCCGTCCCAGATGTGGCTGATGTTGGCATACGTCTGCCAAGGACATTATTCAAAGGACTAAATACCACACAGCCAGCCAGTGCTTCCAGAGTCCACTTTGTGGTCTACCAACAGAATACTTTTTTCAAGGTACCTTATTATTATTATTTTTACTTCCACAAAGGAAGAAAATGTTTTTGTGTTTCTTGATTAGTTATAATTTAAAAAACACCTTTTGAGATAATTTTCAGGAGGAGAGGTCAGAAATGTGCTAACTCATGTATCTAATCGATCAAAGTTTAGTAGAGATCCATCAATTAATTAAAAGTAATGAGGATAAGGCTGCCTTGGTCCTGGCTATGTGAAATACACTCTCTGTTGTCCTTGTATTCCAGGTACTGGCCTCTCTCAGTGACAGTCCTGGCTCTGTGAAGACCAACACCAGTGTTTACCCATATGTGGACATTAATGGTCATATCATTGCGGGCAGTGTGGTTGGTCTGACCATCCAGAAGCTTGCTGACCCAGTCACTATATCATTCAGACATCTGGAGAGAGAAAATGAAGTAAGAATAATTTATGTTTTTGGATAAAGAAAAAAGTGTTTCCTTGTAAAGATTTTCTTGACTTTTTGTCATTCATTCTATAACTTTGAATGATATTTAGAATGGGACAGGTTCATGTACTGTGCAAATTATTTTGTATTGGAAGTTTATTAGGTAGATATATTTATCAATATTTGAAATGTAATAAATATACACTTTGACTTCCAGTAAGCATAGTTCTTGATTTGATCACTGTGAGAGATATTTTATCATTTTATTTAATATTTTTACATGGTGCTTGTAAGGATTTTTCTTCATATGTGTCACAAACCCAGTGACATATCTTGAATTAAAGCTTTATACAAAAGGAGGTTCCTCAACAAAAGCCATTTCATCCATTCCATTCCAGACTGTCAAAAACTCCCAGTGTGTATTCTGGGACTTCTCTGCCAACAGTGGTCAAGGAGGATGGTCAGGGCGTGGCTGTAGACTGGCAGGTGACCAGCCGGGAAACAGGACGGTCTGCCAGTGTGACCATCTCACTAATTTTGCTTTGCTGGTGGTAAGTGCCAGTGAACTCTCACCCCAGTTTGAATCCAGTATGACAATTGCTTCAGTCAGTTGCCATGCAGGATGTGGTCAAGTTGAGTCCAATTTTCTTTTGACAAGTCAGCAAAAAGATATTAAAGGGATAATAACTCTTCATATGATATCTATATTTCACAATAAAAACATTGTGAACAACTCATAGAAATATAATATATTCTGTTTTACCACAAAAACGGCAGTTACAGCTATTATTCTGATATGTGAGCTTGTCTTCAGACCACGTGACCTCCATTGATAGCTATACTCTGTTATAATCTCTTAAGAGATTTTAACAAAAAACCAAACTTTTTAGAAAAAAACCAGGGACTAACTTTGAATGTAAAAATGGATTCATTAACCATTGGTTAGTATGGGAAAATTGTTGTTTACTCCAGGAAAATTAATTTTTTGGCCAAAACGAAGAGTTATTATCCCTTTAATTTTTAAGGTTTTGAACAAAAGTTTAATAGTAGTTTATCATATTATTATCTAGTCATAGATTCAGATCATGGGACATGTCACATGTGTGTCATGTCAGAGAAGATTGTTTTGTGCTGACACCATGTATAGGCTACAGTGAAAAAAATATATACATGTAAATATGTACATTGCAGGATGTTTATGGCACAGGTTCAGGAATTGATGAGTTGAACAGAAGAATTCTGATGATTGTCACCTATGTGGGCTGTGGTCTCAGTATTTTGGGTCTGTTGTTGACAATCATCTCCTACCTGGCATACAGGTAATAGTTTTGTGTTTTATCATTATTGCCAGTACAGATTATTCTTAATTTGTATTTTTGAATGCAGAACCAAAGATATGGATACCAGACTTGCAAATAATACACAATGCAAGTTGAGCAATGATCAATCAGATGTTTATGTTAGTAATAAAGTTTTTCTTCTCATTCTGCGATATTTCATTAAAAAGAGGACAGGTTGTGTTTATACCGTCATTATATCTAGGGAAGTTTCTAGGGACAAAATTTTTATAAATTTAAATACAAAACTGGAAAAGTCATATTTTCATTAATACCCTCAAATAGACATGTTTAAGTTTCATACTATAAGTTCCTTAATTTATGCATCCCTGTGTTTCTATCAGTTTTAATTTAATCAAATTCTTTTTAAAATAGATTTCCCTGTATGATAAGCAAGTAAGTCATGTTAGATTCCCATTCACAGCAGGCAATGAGTTAACCAAAATGATTTATTCTCAATTTTATCAATAGAATCAAGTAATTGAGTGTTAATAGTTCTGTGTACATGACAAATACTGTATCAAAAAAAAAAAAAAAAAAAAAAAAAAAAACTTCAAAAATGACAATACTGGGTATATCTTAATTGCAATATGAACTTCTGACAAAACTTCACTGCAGGTCTAGTGTCAAGAGAACTTATGTGTGTCCTTTGCTGTCACCGGATAATTAGATTATACCTGTTTATTTTAATGAACATTGATCTGAGCTAAAGAAGTCCTGAATGTAACACCCAGTAAGCACAACCTTAAACAATGAACTAATCAAGTTTGCTATGTATGCAAATGCTTAAGTTGAATTTGAATGTGGCTTTATAGATATCATTAGTTGATTTCACACTTCATGAGAAACTTAATCAATTGAAAAAGATAATAACACTCATGATGCATGTTAATATTATACATGTATGTTTTATCCTGCCATACCTTAGCCACAATTACATGCTTTAAGATTTATTGAATTATAATATATATATATATATATATATATATATATATATATATATATATATATATATTTATATATATATATTAAATTGGTTTATGTATGTATGTATGCTTTCTGTCTCCAACCCAGTTTATTTCTTTCCCCAACAAATCTAGAAAGCAACTTATACATAAAAAGACAATTTATGCTCTACATTTTGTTTAAAATAAATTGCCTGTTTGTCTGGTAACCTATTCATTTCAACATACAACTTTTCCCAGAAGTGGCAGCTAAATTATAAGACTTATTTTTTTTTACTAGGTGATATGTGGTCTCATATTTAACTGCTAATATTGATTCCATTGTTCTATGAACTTAACACTGATAAAATAATATTGTGGAATCATTTGTTGACTCTAATAAATGTTTTGATCTGAAAAGCACTGTAATTAATCAATGTGGTATTCATATAGTAGTTTATGATAATGTCTGCATGTGCCAGATTTATTTTAAAAATCATTTGATTTCAAAAGTCTTCTTTGCAGAGTTTTATATGACTTACATTTTTAGGAAATAGTGGAAAGACCAGTTACGGGAATTTGATCTAGCTATGCTTGTTCAGCTGGGCCTCCTTTCTGCATGAAGTTGTATATAATTTGTTACATTTTCTAGGAAGTTGCGCAAAGACACTCCTTCCAAGATCTTGATCCAGTTGTGTTTTGCTTTGCTGGGTTTAAATATTGTTTATGTAGCTGGAACACAAAACCTGAGCAATGTTATTGCATGCAAGGTATAGCATGGCTTTATTTGTTATTGTTTTATTGTTTTTTATTGTCACAACAGTTCCAAATACATTTTTGTTTATTATTCACATTAAATTCCAAAACTGTAATATGAATTTTTCCAATGCAAGCTTACACTTGTCTTACTGTATTTTTTCTTTTTATACTGCATGTTTAGCCAATTTAAGACAAAAGTACCTATTAAATTTACTTATTTGCATTTACTGAACTTAGATATAGGGATTCAGGATATATTTCTAGCAGTGAGATTTCATTGGGGGCCATAAAGGAAAGGGTATGGGTAAAAGATGTGCTTAACCTCCCTTTTCCACTTCATAAAAAATAATGATATTGACAGTAGTGATAGCAATGTGAATAATAATACTGATAGGGTAGCTGATACCAGGAGGGACTATGAATCCCCATCTATCTGAAACTACCCTTTCTAAATTGTGTATTTATTCTTTATTTGCCAGACTGTTGCCATATTGCTCCACTACTTCTTGCTGGCAACTCTGATGTGGATGTTGATAGAAGCTTTCTACATGTACTTGGCTCTGGTGAAAGTTTTCCAGACTTACTACAGGAAGCTTCTGCTCAAGTTTGCCATAGTTGGCTGGGGTAAATAGTGTCACTACTTTATCTATACAGAATGTTTGATGTATATTGCATGTAAAAAGCTATTCACCATGATATTTAAAGCCTCCCAGAGACAGGACATTTTTTTAAATTTTATTTATTGTGTTACATTATGTTTTCTTTTGTGTTTCGGTGTATTTTGTATCTCTTTTAATTTTTTTTTAGTTTGACCCTTATTTTAGATTAATTCTCAACATATTATATTTTTACTTTGAAATTTGTCATCTTAGATTAAAGTACATATTGTATATCTTGAATGAACACAAGCAAAAAGTTTATCACTTATGAGACTACTTTTTCACACTATATCAACAAAAAGTAAATATACATGCAACACAGATATATATTATTTTATGCTTTAGGTGCACCACTGGTGATAGTTGGAATCACACTGGCCATCAATGTTGACAATTATAACTATTACGCTGGATATGAAGAAGCCTTGTGAGTACTATTGCTTTAAAGTATTTGTGTAAATAATTAATATATAGAAAAACACTTAGAGTGGCAGAAAATCTTGGGCAGAATATGAATAGTGGTAGCTGGATCTCACATCAGCAAATGATGACACATTCTTAATCATTTTTAAAAGATATTGTCAGTACCCATTAGCCTTTTGACACCAGCAGGCAAGATGCAAAGCTGAAAATACGCAAAAGTCTCAATTTAAACATGTTTATAGTGACCTTTATGAATGCTTAGGATTGATCCAGTGATTTCTGTCAGTCTGACCTTGGCCTCACAAGTAGATACTATATTATACTTTCAAAGAGATGAATTGTCAACTTGAAATCTTTTTCAGCTGCTGGCTTACAGTTGTACCGATGTATGTGACAGTGATCACCCCGGTGGCTGTGACAGTTCTCCTCAATTTTGTGGCGTTTGGGTTAGTTTTCCATCAGATTCGGAGCCATGTCCAGCAGAAAAAGATCACCAAGACCCAGAAGGCATCCTCGGTGTCACAAGTCCGAGGAGCCCTGAGCATCATGGTCTTGTTGGGGCTGACCTGGGTTTTTGCCTTCTTTACCTTCAGTGCAAGGTTCATAGTATTCCACTATTTGTTTGCCATCTTCAACTCCTTGCAAGGACTCTTTGTATTCATATTCCACTGCTTCTTGAAACATGATGTCCGTATGATGTGGATGAGAAGTTTGCCTTGCTGTCCAAAACCCAAAGACAGCTCCACATTCAATTCTTCTACTGGAGGTAAGAGAAAATTTCAAATTAATTCTAAAGCACTGGGATGTTTGATTCATGATGGCTAATTAAAGAGCCTGGCCTAAAGTACAAAGTGTGCTCTGCAAATTACTGGGTAGATTTGTAGCAGTACTAGCATAAGGAGTGCAGTTAAAAAGTGAATAAGGACATTTACTACACAATATACAACATGAGGCTTGGAATCCAGATATAAGTTTTGTCATATTGATTTTGAACACAAGGCTCATTTAAACTATAACTCTGTTTTTGAAAAACACCATTAGTCTTTTTGAAAGATATCGGCCATCAGGGTGGCCTCGATTTTTAAACACAAAATAATGCTTTCATACTAGTATTTCAGAGGCTGACTTACCCTTTGCAGGCTAAGAAAATAACTCAATTTTGTATCACTTTTTTTAAATTGACAATGTGCATTCATGATTATACATATATAATATATATCCTCTCAGTTGCCTTGGGAAAACTTGGCAGTCGTGTGCATCCTGCCAGGGCTAGACTCCCTGGAGCCAGGAAGGGTAGGTGGTGTGCAACTTGTGGACAAACTAATTTATTTATTCCCAACTAATTACTTTATATTTGCTTCAGTCATGCACCCTAATGGGAATCCCACTAAATGAGAATAACCAAAATAACTTTTTTATTTTTAGATTATGAAGATCTACAGGAAAACTCCTATTTGGATGTTTTAACTGTACATGTTATATTATTTCAGGCTGTATTTGTGTTATCATGATATCCCATATACCCTAGCCTTGGTGTTTTGCAAATGCAAAATCTATTTTTTCTCTCGCAACACTTATACATCATTTTCCGTTAAAAACCTTTCCCAGTGTTTTACTGTTAATTACATGAGTTTCATTGTTTTCCTTCACACCATTTTTTAAGTTAGGATATCCTTATTTTTATTTCTTTTTTGTTTTGTATTTTTAGTTTCAAACTCATCTAAAATGACCACAAGTAGTAGTATTAACAGCCTTGGTCAATTGGCAATGGAAGAAAAAAATGTTAAGGTCCCACTTAACAATGCTTATGAAACTAGTGAGTGAAGCCTTTCTTGTTTTTTAGTTCAGTGTTACTTGGTTGTTTTTTTATTGTTAATTTTTATTTTATTTGAATTCAATTTACTATTATAAGGTTGTATAGAGTTGTTCTTTTGAATTATTCATCATTTTTTTCAGTAGAAATACATTGTTGTCATTATCTAAGTAATTTTTATCTAAGTAATTTTTAGTTACTAGTTAATGTTAAACAATTTCATGGTGCATTATGTAATAATCTCAATGTGCCCAATTTAACATCTTAAACACCTGATCATAACATTAAATGTGATAGCCATTAAAATCCTCTCCTCAAATAGAAAACTAAAATAAAAAGGAAAATATTTGCAAATTCATTGTAGATCTTGTAGCTAGTTGTAGATCTTGACAGCAAATTAATTGATATCCAGGATCAACCCAAACCACTGCTATATCATTTTGGCCTTTTTGCAGTTTCACCAGTTCCTGATTACCATAATATTTTGGTACTCCATGGTTTAGTACTCTAATGGGTCATTTTGAATTATCATTTTGATTTTACAGTCAATTATTTTAAGTAAAATCTAAAAATCTCATTGGGTTTAAAATAAATAAAAGTGGCCTTAACTGTCCAAATATCATCTGGTATTGTAATATTGTGTAATTGTTTGATTTCATTAATTGAAAATCACATTACTAAAGGAAATATAAAAGTGATACATTTATCTAGTGTTTTTATACATACAAGCTAAGGTACTCTTATAGTTTTGTATGTGTATCACTCTCCTATATTCTTTAGCATTATGATTTTTTTTTTTTTGCTTATTGGGCTTTTTATATTTTATTGTTAGCTTTTTTGTTAAAATTTCTCATTGGTACATGTATTTGGCTACCCTCCCCACCAGCTTTTATTGTCTTGTTAAAATAGAATAATTTTGCTGTCAAATGTTTTTATTCAAATTGTTATAATGTGGAACACATTTTTCATTATAGTTATATATAGTATATTCTTTCCTTTTAGTCCCAAGCAAGGGTAAAGTATATGAGAAGAAATATGGTCCTGATCCAACTATCATCAAAAATGCAGGCATTAATAACAAGGGATTTTATTAACTAAGGTGAACAATTACTTAAAATTGCAAACAGAACTGATATTAATGGAATTGGAGCAGTAAATACTACCAATTCTGTCTGTACTGTGCAACACTGAAGAACCAATTCTGAAGGATTAGTTTCTAAGGACAATACTCCTTGTTTATACATTATTTATTATTTACCAGTCATGTTTAACTTGCATTGTAAGCTGCTTTTTTGCTGAGATCAACAATGTAATGAACAAAACATTGTTAAGATGCATATATACAAAATGGTAATTAATGAGTTACCATTGTTGTTTATTTAACACACGTAACAAACATGACTGTTTGACATGTAATGAGACTAAGGAGGATTTCTCTGTTTAATTTGAAATTACAATTTGAATTTGCTCTCTATATTACCATGTCATATTGAATTGTTTCTGTTACAATAATACTATAAAACAATATACAAGTTTTAAAATAAGAGGTAAGAAGTTAAGAGTCACTCCATTCTTGTCAGCAAAAAACATATTTGTGTATACATAGTTGAAAAATGTATATCATGTAGGTCATGCATGGTATATGAATTCTTGCAAGTTCATGTTTTAACACTGGTATTTTTTAACAATTTACATTTGGAAAAAACGCAGCACAAAACAAAAATTAGCATTAAGGAAATAACTTGACAGGTTGAGCTTCATTTTGCACTATATTCACTTTTTCCAAACTTGCATGGTCGTATTTACCTTGTAGAAAAATAGTAATTTTAATACCTCGGGAACAAAAAACATGCAATACTTCTGTGGCTGTTATACAGTTTTAAGTTCTAAAAGCTGTTTATCCAATCATCTAAATACAAATATATATATATATATATATATATATAATCTGCTAATTGCTAATGTAAAGCCCAGGTTGAATTTCTAAATGAAATGTACTTATCTCTAGAAATATTGCTTAGCAATTTGAAATCTAGAAATTGTGATACTTTTTATGTGATATCTTTAGGATGTGTATTATAAACCAACAAAAGCAATGTAAGGGTCCCTTTTCTTAAAGTTTATATCCCCTATTAAAGTCATTGTTCAAAAAGATATATTTATATTGCTAATAATGTTTATAATAAAAGTATTCTTAGCAATACATTATTTATGCAAGGCAAAACTGAACAAAACTATAGAAAATAATATTAAAGAACATTTAGGAATAGAAAATTATATTTGCCAGTGCACCAATTTTTTGATTGAATATCAAGTATAGACAAAGAGGTAAAAGCAATAAACCTTGATATTTAAAAAACATATTTTATTATTATGTATGCAGTAATAACTTAATATTTCAGTCTCCTTCAATATTTTGCACAAGGTTGAATTTTGCCCTTTTTCACCTTCAACTTATTGTCAAAATATATTAAACATTGTACTCTTTGCAATAAAATAATTTTCTTGAAGTTTTAGTTTGAATTTTTTAATCCACCATCCATTTGCGATTTTAATCTTATATCCATAAATATGAGATCTGGTAAAATTTTTAAAATTTAAAATACTGACAAATAGCATCAACACCAAAACTTCAAAAGAAAAGGTTATCAATCAGACAACAGTGATGCCAAATAACAGCTATGTTGTAACTTTTGAAGTCTGGGGGGCATAAACATTCATGTACATATCAAATTATACACTTGCTTTTGGTAAAAATCCAGTTCTTGGTCGACATCACTATTCTGAAGACTACTGTATATAAACCTCTTCATCAACATCAATAGTAAAATATGTGATATTTATGTTAATTTAAACAAACTCAACTAAATATCAAAAACGGGTTCCAGCACCATCTTTGTAAAAGGATAATTTTCACAGTTCAAAGTTAACTCAAGCCAAATATTAACTAATACATGTATCTGGGTTACTTTCACAAACTGCATGGCTGGTATGAAACAAATATGAAGAGTGAGATTGAATTTAATTATCATAAAGTACATACATAACTACTTGCTGCCGTGTAAAAAAATAACATACGTAAGTAAAAAGTAAAATGGGTTTTATAATAAATTAATTTCTTATAATTACAGTATATCATAAGAAAAGTTATGAATTAAATGGCAGATCAGTTTCTGGAACAAAACCACCAAAGAAAGTTTGGAAAAAAATAAAATTGTGAAGACAAAAATTGCACAGTATTAAAGATTGCTATCTAAATTATAATAAAGTCACTCTACAAAAACAAATTGGGTATTTGGCACAATAATTAAAATAAGTACACAGTTAATACCACTATTTTTATGACTTTTGATGTATGGCCATATGCCTTCTCAATATGGAAGCATCATTAAACTTTCTAGCACACAACTGGCACTGAAATGGCTTTTCTCCAGTGTGGATACGTTTGTGGCGTGTTAGAGCACTTTTCTGTGTAAACCTCTTCTTACATTCCTCACAGGCATATGGACGCTCTCCTGTATGTGTTCGCATGTGTGTATTCAGTGCACCACGGGTGTGCATCTGCATCCCACAGACTTGACACTGGTATCTTTTATGCTCGTTGTGGGTTTCCAAATGCTGTTCATAAGACCTCCTATAGTAATACGGCTTACAGCAATGTGGACACCAGTATAGAGGGGTACCTTCATGCATTCTCTGATGCTCCAGTAAATAATACTTGCTGGCATATGCATTGCCGCATTGCTCACAGACATATGAGGGAGGGTTGGCACTGTGTGCCTTAAGTTTGTGTACCTCCAGGTACTGTGCACTGGCAAATAATCTTTCACATAATTCACAACGGAAAGATTGAGATTCACAGGTGTGTCGTTTTGTGTGCAAATACAAACCTACTTTGGTTGTAAATTTTTTTCCACATATCCTACAAACATGCCTGACTTTGTAGTGAACTTTTTCCAGATGGCTTTTCATATCAGCTCTGATACCAAACATCTTGTCACATAAAGAACACTGTAAAGACTTCTGCAGGTGCTTTCTTTTCATGTGAACCTTGAAATGGCAACGGTATTCACTTTTAAAGTCACAGTATTTGCAGGATACTTTCCCTTTCTCTACTGTACAGTGAGGTTTTATGTTACTCCAGTTAAATGACTTCATTTTCTTAGCAACATCGTTCGTCTCTTTCATTTTTCTATCAATGCCACCAGCATTCAGTGGATTGTCCTGTTGAGTCCTTATGGTGGAAGTTTGTTGAAATGTGTCACCAACAGGATTATTTTCCATTTGTAGCATGGTCATCTCACCGAATTCTGTCCCTGACTCAGCCCCTGAGTTTAGATTTTTCTCACATCCTTTTAAATGCGCCACCAAACCTGTTTTCTTGGCAAATTTCTCTCCACACTTAAGACATGGAAAATTACTTGGGGGTCTTTTCACCTTCTTTTTCCCACCACAACTATGCAATTGCAGGTAGTCTGACCGCTTATATGTTTTTCCACACTTGTGGCATAAGTATCTCAGCTTCCAGTGTTTACATACCAAATGATCCTTCATGCTTGCTTTGTCTTTACCTACCAGACCACACAGAGAACAGACCCATTTCTCCAGCATATGTTCATTCATAATATGGTTACAGTAATCATTGCAAGTCTTTGAAATAACATCACAGAAGTCACACATTTGTTCATATTTGTCGGCATCTTCTACTCCCAGGGCTACAGACTGTGAATTAGTGTTTTGTCCTTTCCTTGCAGCATTCTGTAAACAATACCTCTTCCTGAGTGGTCTGCCTAGAAGTACAAAAAGCACATATTTATTATTTTTCTGCATGGACGAATAAACTGCTAACTACAAATCATTGGCCATTCCTCAGTGTTTTCCTTCTTTTTCATATATTTTCTTGATACAAAAATCATTAAGAAAATCTTTTATCCCATGAAAAAGAAATTAACTTGCAATCTGTACTCCATCTTCTGTGTATTTACCTCTTTTCGTCCGTGGCATAACTTTATGGAGATTTTCACCAGGGTCCATTTCATTGCTTTTATCTTCCTCTAAATGATGCTCTTCTTGGCTAACACGTACATCATTCTTTATACCAAGGCTCTCTGTCCATATTGGGGTGTGATGACTCGGAGCAAGTATTTTGGCACTGTTGTCACTTGCTGCAGTATTCATGTCTCTTATGACGCTACCTTGGCTGATTTTACCAACTGTTGGATTTTGCATCACATAAGCTTCACTGTGCATTTGGCCAAGTTGAACAGGAATAGACGATGAAAAAGATGATGATGATGATGGTGTGCAATCTTTTGGGTCTGCGGACGAACTACAACCTTGTACTAACCTAGTCCCCAAATGTCGATCATACTCACTAGCTAAAGCATCATATAAATCACGCACTCCTTCCCAGCTACCTTGAACGTGGCACTGTTTAATAGGACTGTCATCATGGTTAGCGTCAAGTTGTTCGATTTTGCAGTCTCCGACGACCCAATTCTGACGCAAGTTCAGCACGCTGCTCAAGTCAGTGACAGTTTTTGTAGCATTGGGTATAGTCTGCAGAATTTCTTGGGCAATAATAGCTGTAACAGAAGTATAAACTGGCATATTTGTACTAGTGCCCTCAGTAGGGAAAACCTAGTTGAGCGGCATTGGTACATGTAGCGTATCGAAATAGAACTCCACAAGCTGAAGAGTTACGCAGATACGCGAAAGAGAAGTGAAGAGCTGTTCGTGGCTGCGCTCAAGAAATATTGAAAGAAGTAGAGTCTTCATCAACATCTGGTTTGATAATGAATTATTACCTTTCATTCTTCATTTGATTGTCAATCTGCCAACAATACCTGCCTCATGAAAAATCCAAAGACATATGTATCGTCATTGATAACCATAGCCTACATTATTAGGCCTACATGTAGGTGCCATATACATGTACAATATGTTTAAAACATAGAAAATTATGTAAATTCAAAAATAAATAAATAAATAAACAAAACAAATAAAATAAAAAAGAAATAAATAAAAAGAAATAAAAAACGCAATTAAATCTGAGAACATTTAAGGGGACAGTAAACCAGCTCGAAGGCCATCAACTGCTGCTCCCCCCTCCCCCCAAACCGTTCGTTTGCTCTACCTACGACACTGAAAACTAAAGGTAACAAGAAGCACTGAATGATTTAAAATACCTATTTTAGGCGACTAGATGAGGGTGTAGACACTACTCGGGGTACCACTAAGTTTTTATTTATTTATTTTACCTTTTCTAACGCAAAAAAATCCCATTGATTTTCAGTGGCGGATTTAGAGGGTGGTTAGGGGGTCCGGGCTCCCCCTTCGGTTACTGAAAATTATATCACACCAATATATATATTCCCTAGTGAAATTGACTAGCTAAATCATAGTTCTAAACCGTACCAAAGGGCACCGTTTGCTCTCCAAAACACCAAAAATTGGTCGGGGTCCTTGAGCAGCCACACCAAGGGTACGATGGTCGGCTTCGCCTCCGAGGCCTGTCGTTCCGGACCCCCCTTCCCCCCTCCTTCGAATAAACATGGATCTGTCCCTGGTTTTAGTGAAACTTTTTTTAATGCATAAACATATCGGCATTTCGATTTAGAGATTCATGTATGTGGGATCGTTCGGACATCATACATGTACATGTATCTGTCTGTGGGTGGATCGTATTTGAGCGTGGATTTATCGGGATTGTTAAATTTTTTCAAACACTTGGATCCACTTTCATCTGGCACTTGGATCCAAAGGTACTCGATTTCATATGGGATTATCGGTACGTCAATTTTTTTCGGTAACAAGAATTATCAACATTTACCCTGGTGTCGAAGTTGAAGTGGTTTAATATTATGGGGATTTTAACTACTTGGCGGAAGAAGTGTGTGTATTTTTTTTCTAAAACAATAAAGTAGGACTAGTATGTTTTCACAATACTTATAGAGGACAGTCATATCTGTATGTCCATGTATGAACACTCGTGAAAAGTAGTCACAGAATCTCACCTAGAACGAGTAATACCAGTCGTAATTTGCATAATAATAATTTGTTCATCGCAGTGCGAGCTGTCTATGAGAATACTCACTTGCCAGTTGGACATTGTTGGAAGAAGACGTATACTTGTGTGGTGCAGTTTGTGTGGTGCAGTAGCAAGGTCGAGCTTCCATAAAGCAAATGCATGTTTTGTAAGCATCACGGTTTATTCAATTACATTTGTCATTAAATACTGAAGTCACTTACAAATGCAGGTAATTTACGACAAATACTTACATTGTATAACGCAATTCTTTATGATATTAGGCCTACTTTTATCGTTACTGGTATGTCACTCAGAATATTGGAAAACATTGTGACAAGACATACTTGTGACTTACATAAGATTTTTTTTCGTAATGTGACCATTACTACCAAGAACTCTGACTTATTACAGTGTAGATAAAAGTAGCCTAATGCTTGTCACAGTTCTGAGCTTCTGACCAATGGGTTCAATTGACCCACCAACATGCACATGGACTTTTGGACAACTTCGATGGTTAATTTTTATCAACAAATCTAATGTATCTCTTGGATGTGTTAAAAGATAAAAAATAATTTTATTGAGAACAATTAACGCCCCCCCCCCTGAAAAAAGAGTACATGATGGTAGTGGCTACATTCACGGCATTCAGCAGCAAGTGCAATATGTGAACGACCGTAGTAATAACATGCGCGAATGGAAGGGTTGTGTTTTCAGCCGTTCTTTTCAGTAAGATTTGTCAAATTATTTGAAATATTTCGGATCGTAATTTTGTCGTAATTTTAGCCTCTATTTCATCGGTGGTAGCTGAGCCTGAACTTTGGACAAACTAATAAATATGCACGTCATTTCAGTTTTGAGTGTCCTCTCTTCTGTTACATTGCATGCATTAGCCGTGTTTTCAGAGCCTGTTCGTATGCCCAAAATTTGTCAACATATGTTTTCTCATTTCAGAAGCCCACTGAGATATTGCGCAACCTGACCTGCAAACAACCTACTGTAGCCTTGGTTCATATTCGGGAACTCTACGCCTATTTATGCAATAATTATATAAGGCTGAATAAATACTTCTGTAATTGTTCTGTGGTTTTTCGTTTTGATATGAAATAATGATACAAAAGATTCTGGTTATAATAATATGAACAGAATAAGCATATATACATGTAGGTATGTTAATTGTTTGAGCACTTTCAAATTAAATCTGCTAAATCTGATCTGTAAATATTGTTTTGGGATTAACGATTTACTATGCAACCTTGAGATATTTGTTGGAAAAGCCTTTGTAAATATACACGTTATTTTGTAGACAATTAAATATGGGTATTTGGTAACGAATTAAAAAGTATGAATTTAATTTACGTGTACTGACAACTTAGCTTTTTGATTTTTTCTTAATTTTGATCTACGGCAATCACGATTTTTCCCTTGAGCAAATTTGTTCATCCAAATTGATATAATTTCCTCCAATTTTCTTTATGAATACAGGTCCTCTTTTTAGTTTTGATTTTCCTCTGCAAATTGATTTAGTACTAACAACCTCATCTTCATGTAAATACTCCACTAAAATGAGAAAGTATAATTATTCTGATGCAAACTTAAATCACACTTAAACCAGGCAAAACCTGTCACCCCTCAAATAAAATGGACTTGCCCCACCTGTCACCCCCTCAACTGTAATGAACCCGCCCCACCCGTCATCCCTCAAATTAAGTGAACTCGCCCCACCTGTCACCCCCCAAATTTAAATGAACTCGCCCCACNCTCAACTGTAATGAACCCGCCCCACCTGTCATCCCTCAAATTAAGTGAACTCGCCCCACCTGTCACCCCTCAAATTAAATGAACTCGCCCCACCTGTCCTCCCTCAAATTAAATGAACTCGCCCCACCTGTCACCCCTCAAATTAAGTGAACTCGCCCCACCTATGCAAATCTCACAAATTGCACTCATTTCAAGCGATAAAACGGATGTTTTTGAACGTGCCGTTTATCACAAAAGTTTACCTATAGAAAGTGACAATGAAGAAATATAAGTAATATGCACACATAAATCAAAAGTATTCTGTTTAATTCCATAAATGTACATTCTCAACTATATTTAGTTAAAGAGCTTAAGTGTTACCTTTGACCTTGTCTTTTCATATCATACAAAAATAAAGTGCACGTAGTTTGTGCATTTCACTTAGTTCAGGTTATAACAACATAATTACGAGGAATATGATATTCACATGCACACTATTGAACAAACTGTCAAAGTTAAAACACGCTGCCAAGGAGAACATGAGTCAAAGTTAAAACGCGCTGCCAAGGAGAACATGCATACGAAAATGATGATGAAAAACGCTGAAAAATATTAATGAAAAATATAAGCCTGACGTAACGTGAACATCGCTTTAAAATATAAAGGTTCTAAATAAATGAACAATTTGTGGAATAGCAAATTTTGGAAAGTATTCCAATTCTTTATATTGCGGTTTTATGTCTTAAATTTAACGCAATTTCACAGAAAAATTCAAAGACACAACATAACATTTACACGAAGAATCACTTGGTCAAATAACAGATGTTAGGGAAATGGAACGGGCTTAAAACAGGATTCAATGTTTTCTATTTTAATGTATAAATATGTACTTCTAAAATGTTATAAATACTGTATGTAGTGTAAATATATACAACCATATGCATGAGTCAGAATAAAATACTAAATGGAAGAAACATCTTAAAACTGGCATATCAAGAATTTACTGGAGTTCACATTCATATTTCGTAGCATAATACATTGTATCTTTCTAAACGTGATCTCAGTACGGATTATTTCTACTTTAACAATGTTCAGTTCAAAATGTTTTGTTTTATTCTAAAGAAGCAAAAAGTTCATTTCAAATCGATTAGATCATAGGATCTGAAAAGTCGCTACATTGTCACATATCACTATTAATTAACTGATGCAATGGAAAACTACCCACCAATAAAACATTTTTACAAATTGCTCATCATTCGTAATTGTCAGATAATAACTGACAAATGATGGAAATAATATCGTCTTCTACATTGTTCTGTATAAAAGCAAATGATACGGTGACTGATCCACTATGCAAACGATCTTATTCGAGTTTCAACTCTCAATATTGTGAAAAATTGCATTTTTATTATGCCGTCTGTACGATGTTGTGTGCTAACAAAAATTACGTCGTGGCATTTTAAACACTTAACTAATTACACTGTTATTAACGAAATGAAATTGGGGAGAAGCTGATTTTTTTAAAAATAAAATCAAATGAGTTCGAGTTCGTCTCAAGGAAAATATTGAAAAAGATCATGATCAATCCCTAGGTATAATTTGAAACCAAAAAAATATCGATTTCTGAGTATAATTTGAAAAGGAAACACGCTCGATCCTAGTTTAACATTTTAATTAATAATATAATATGTAAGTCTAAAAGGTTTTGAAAATAACAGTAAAACTATAAACATGATGTGGTGCGTGTGTGGGCGTGTGTGAGAGAGAGCGCAGCTGTGTGCATGTCTGTCTGTGTCCAGTTCCAAAATACTGGGACAGCTTCTATTAGATGCCCGTGCATTTTGCAAGATTTGAGCAAAGGCGTTGGCACTTCTGAAATATCAAAATAAAAATTTAATAACGATATCAATATGGTATTCCAATGCAATAAAACTTGGACTATACTGAATTAAATGAAACAGAAATAGTTTTGCTTTTTGAAAAATTAATAGCAATAGGTGAACACCAAACTGAAAAAAAATATTTCACAGCAAATGTCAATGAATGTAGCACACCAATATCTAGTACACTATGAAAAGAAAGACGCAAGGAATAAAACGACCAGTGCTATTGGAAAGCGTTCTCAAAAAAATAAATAAATAAAAAAATAAAAAATTTAATTAAATTAAAAAATTAATAAAGAAAAAGAAAAAATAAAATAAAACAAAATAAAAATAGATAATAATAATAATAATAATAATAATAATAATAATAATAATAATAATAATAATAATAATAATAATAAAAACACAACTGCAACAATTCGTCAAAGGATTACAGAACCGATTGCTCAAAATTTAAGGGTTTAGAGGGCATAATTATCTGATGCATATTTCAGTTTGTTCATGATTAACGGATATTATTTAATGAATGATTCAACAGCGTGCTTCTATAATATTCAAAAAGCTATTATACTTAAGTTACTATCAAATCCTGGAAAATATCCTACGGGTGTAATGAATTTTAGTGTCATTGTGAAAACTTACAAAAAAAAGCTTTTCTCGTTTATCTGCTTTTGTAACAAACATGTCAAACACTTTTCTTAGCATTAAATGGAACGTAATACAGACCAGTTTCTAATGTAGGCACCTGAGAAAGTCCACACAAATACATGCACAGCGAATACAAATATTGTCACGGGTGTTTTAATAGTGGATTTTCTCTTCCCTTTTATTTACGACGCGTTACCGTCCTTCGGGATCCGTGACACGGGGGTATATTAGGTAGGAAAAGAACAACAAAGTCCTGATCTTTCTCAATCCGGGTAAGCGGGTTTTATTGGATCACAGATGAGAGGTACAACTGAGTACGCCTTCTAAATTACTCCTTCGTTTCCTATTGATCAGATCTGCTCCGATAGTATAGGTCTTCCCTGTGCGACAACGGCGCTTCTAAGAGATTAATTTAACAAATAGAGTCTAAGTGCCTAGGTGTCTAAGTGTCCAAGTGTAAGCGCAAGTATAAGTGAGCAAGTGTGTAAGTAAGTAAGTATATGTCCAACCTAAAGTGCGGGCTTCGCTTTTATCTTCCTAGAATGCAGATCAAGTTCCCCTTTTACACGTCACATTTTGTTATGTATACTATGGTCACATTTTCCTTTAAAGGGTGGCACACTGTATTATCCGAGCAGATCATTTCTATTTATTCTCCGATCTCCCTTATGTTTTGATACATTCTTTTAGCGTACTTTCCTCTTTCTATATTCTTAATTCAGAACTAATTAAGTAACAATCACTACATGAAACTAGAATGGAATTTCTTTGGTATCCTTCACCGGTTACTAATTACATTCCATAGATACATCAGTCTGTATCTCGTTTGAACTATTTTTATACCACCTAAATCAATATGATTGCAGATATCAAACTCATGCTTGGAGTATATACTGCTTTTCTTTAAACTAATTCTTTAAATCATTACGCATAAATAAAACCATTATGACAATATGTAAAAACGTTCAAAAATACAAATGTTTTATGTGACTCACGTGCATTGAGTGGCAATTATGTGGCCGTGCCTGGGCACCTGGAAGTGATATATATCTTTGGGAGCGTACTTTTCATATATTTTACGTAAAATTTTTCTTAAATCCAGTGAACTACTCAGCCACACTTATTACCTGGAAATATGGACTCGTAAAAACACGAAAATGCTGCAAATCACCTTCGTTATAAACGATAAAGAGCTTATATGACCCATTCCACAACCTTGTGAATTAAAACAAACAGTTCAGTACTTGTTCAAACTCAAATCACAAAGGAAGAAGTACGTAAATTACTGTAGCCGTACATACCACATTCGAATCGCAACTTCGTTCACATCTATGCGCATGTAAAAGAAATATTACCCATAAGATTTACTTACTACAACCATGTATAATGGGTCCAAGCTACGTGCAACTATGAATGAGATGCTCTCCGTCCAACGTCCTCTACAGTCTCCAGCTAACAAGTGATCATAGTTCTCACTGCGCTGAGCGACTTATTGTTATGCAAATTACAACAATCTGATTGGGAAGTTGCTGTTGAAATCATTCTAAAAAAAACTGCGAATCTATATGGTCTTATAGATCGAGTGACAAAATCCATTTTTATGGTTTTGAGTTCTTGACTGCTACAGTTCATTTAGCCATCATAAGTTTCTTAAATCCTTTAATTGCAGAATGCACCAAGACTTACACCCCATTCTCATAGATTAGATCGACCTACATTGGATCGACCTAACTCCCTGGGGGTTCACGCTAAATAGCTGTCAGCCGGGCGGACACGAAAGTTAATTACCCCTTAAAGCTTGTAGTAGGCGGGGACGGACACTTAAGGGGGATTATCTGACAGTAATCTAGTGAGACTCCCCGCGGTGATAGATCGATCTAAAAGTTGTGAGAACAGAGCCCTAGGCTACATGTAGGTAATAATTGCCAAGACACTTTTGATAGCTCGTTGGGTTTGACTGGACTTGGTTCGCTCAAATGTCTTTTGTCATGTTAATCTTTGACGAACAAAACGAAGGACTGGAAACGCGGTATTTTCCATTTTCGTCCAAGCTACCACACATGTATGGGCTTTTATTTTGGACAATCATTGTAGAATTTCTATTGTAGAATTTGTATGTTAAAAGAGACAAATACACTGCGTTATGATTTATGCAATTTCGGAATCATGGGAATGCCCATATCTTTTATCGCTAGTGTCATTTTGAATCATGCACAAAATAAGTAATAGAACAATTTCATAATTAAATAAATAAATATGCAAACATATTTTATTATAGATACACTTTTAGAGACAAAATCCAGGGAAGATCCAGGCTTGGGAAATTTTGTTCAATTTTTTTTAAATTTTCCCGTTCCGCCTTACATGTGCAGTGTTAAAAGTTACCTCTGCTAAGGTTCCGTTTGTCTATGCAAAAAGTTTTGGAGGGATTCTGATAAAATTTTCACGATAGCTAGGAAATGGGTTAGATTTTGGTGGTGATTAATTAATCAGTTAACCAATCAAAAATGAAATTGGAACTTATTTATTAAAAAAAATTATATAGTTGGGGATATTTTACATGTACATATGCAGAATTACAGGTAAGATTTTCAGTTGTTGCCATCACGAGCTTGATTCTTTATTTGTCAAGTTATTTGACCGTAAATATGTGTAAAGTGTTTCAAATGATGTTAAATAAACACAATCAATAACATCTAGAGATTCAATTTTGTAATGCTTCTTAATTAGAAATCAATTGGACAAATATTTATCTTTTAAATGTGCATATTTACCTTCAGAAATGATAAAGAGTTCTAATACTATACAATTTTATTTGTCTTCTGGTTGTATTTTAAACTCATATCATTTTATCTACTAGCTGTCTAAAAACAAATGCAAACTTTTACCTCTGGAGTCCTTGACAATTTTCTGCATATATAATAATTAAAAGTCCCTACTACCAAAAGTAATTTATCTTAAATGGATTTGTGAGTGCTTTTTCAATGTGGATACATCACTGAAAGCTTTGCAGCAGACAATGCAAACATAAGGTCTCTCTCCTGTGTGAGTAAGTTTGTGGCGATCAAGGTGATTTTTCGTAAAGAACGACTTGCCACAGTCTTGGCATTCATGCTCCCTCTTCCAGCTGTGCCTCTTCACATGAATCTTCTGAGCAGGTAAGGATACAAACTGTTTTCCACAAATTGGGCACAGGTAACGATTTTTATCTGTGTGGAGCTTAAGATGTTGTTTTAAACATTTCTCCCTGTAAAAGCCTTTGTGACACACACTGCACTGGAAACCTGGCTTCTCAGCGTGTGTCTGTACATGCTCAGTGTACATGCATTTATGAGTAAAACCTTTACCACATACTGCACACACAAAGGGCATGGGACCCTTGGGATGGCGCCGTTTTTTGTGTGCCTTCAGGTGAGAAGCATGGTAGAACATTTTTCCACATTCATCACACTGGGCTTCTACAGGATCTGCTTCATGTCTTTTCATGTGAAACTTAAACCCTAAATCAGTGGTAAAAGTCTGTGTACACACATGGCATATTATACGGTCTTTAGCAGGTTTTGGTAGATGTTTGCTCTCTATATGTCTTCTTAAATCATTCTGTACAGCATATTTCACACCACACATGGGACAGGGCAGCGTTTTCTCCAAATGTCTTCTTTTCAGATGATTGATAACTGTTTGCCTATATTCTGTTCTGTAGTCACAGTAGTTACAACAGAATATACCATTTTCTACAGTGCTGTGAAGTCCCAAGTTATCCACTGTCAACAAGGCAGTTGAATCTGAGGGATTACCAGCCTCTGTCGTCTCTTCTTGATGGTCCGTTTTCACATGTGCTACCAGTAAATGTACACTGCTAAAAGTCATACCACACTTGTCACAGGACACACACGTTTCTTCTGTAGCATGTTCCTGCTTATGTGCAGTCAATCTAGCCTTGGTACCAAATGATTTTTCACATACGGTACAAGTGTACTTTGACTTAGTATGGACAGTTTTAATATGATATCTCAAGTCAAGTCCGTTTCCAAAAAGGTTTGAACAATCTGGACACTGCAGAGATCTTTCCATGTGCTTCCTACTGATGTGCATTTTAAATTCCTTTTTACCCTTCACCTTTGATGCACAGTAATTACACTGCAACATACCATTTTTGGTGGTGCAGTGTTTTATGAATGATTTCCAAGGCAACTCAAGTGGATCTTCAACATTATTATCTAAACATATTTTTACACTTCCTGCTTCATTTCTAAAAACACAGCTGTGTTTACCAAGTTGCCTTTTTGTTCCAAAACATTTTCCACATTTATTACACATATATTTCAGCCTCCAATGCTTGGCAGCTATATGGTTTCCAACAGCAGCTTTGTCTACAAGTTTAAGTGAGCATATGGGGCATATCCGTATGTCATCTTTATTGCCATGTTTGCTGACAATGTGACACTGATAATCTTTATTTAGGTGGAAGACTGCCTCACAGAAATCACACTTTTGTCTATATCTGTCCGTATCTTCCAAAGTTAAAGGTATATATCCTGTACCCATATTAATAATGCTTCCAGCATCAGCATCACAAAGCTGAAACTCTGATTTAATCTGGGTAGAATCTGGTGCTGGCGTAACATTATCAGCATTGGGCTGTAGGGAATAAGAGGAAGGGTCAAAGGTGTTTCCACTGCTTTGCACAGCAAGATAATTCTCTCCATAACCATTGCTAGTAAGCTGACTTGTCTGCTGGGCTACAGTATCTGGATGTTCTATGTAATCAAAATCATCATCGGGGTCATCACCATCTTCATTTGTGTCAGACTGACTGCCTAGCAAGGGATGTGAGGATGGAGTCTGATTGACAATATAACTGCTTTTGTGTTCGCTGGTTGTGGTTTTGCACGTACTTGTAGGCTGGATTGGGGAGGTGTCCACCGCTTTTTGTCTTGAGACATCCCCTGCGCGAATTCGAACACCTGCTCGTTCGTCACTCTCAAGTTCCCTATTTTCTGTTGCATATGTCTTAAACAAATGATCATGAAGTTCCTTGATACCATTTAAATCGCCGTTAACCCAACAAGTTTGTATGTTTTTCACATTTGCCCAAGTACAATGCAAGTTCCATCTCCCAGCAAGGTTTTGCATAACGGTTGTATTATTGGGGACCCGCCGAAGAAAGGTCGGAGATATTGCTGCACTAACTGATACAAACACCATCATCTTGATGTCATAAAACTTACTGAAGGTATCATCTAGTGACTCGTTGACTTCTTAATCATCGGTTATTTCTCACCACTCGACACGGTCTGTGCGAACTACTACAGTGCAGCGAAATGAACCTTCTTTTCTAAAAGAGGTCACTATAAAATGATCCTACTCGTTTTAGCACTGAAAAATCAAATCTGAAATGTTTTGTCTCGGCTGTAAATTCTAAAAATGGACCTTTTCTTTGATATTATAAGAACTTAATTTGTTTGAATATATTATGAGTACCAATCAAAGTTGCAATCTGGTTTTAACAAGCACAGTTATTTGGATCATGGAAGCGTAGGCCCTACATGTAGACTATGTAGGCCTATACTAGCACTGTACGTAGTAGGCTACTAGTAGTACCTAAATAAGTGTAGGCCTTCATTAACTTCCATTTGCATGAAGAAAATCCGCCTTGAGTTAACCAATATTTGATTAATTCAATGTGTAAAGAAAAACAACGCCACTTTTCCCAGTGCTTTACTGATGCTTTGATAAAAAAAAAAGCACCATATCATAAAAACCCCACAAGCTGGATTGTCCATTGTGTTTATCCTTGGACCTAAATAGAGATCTATTTAGGTCCAAGGTTTATCCGACCTAGTAGTCCAGTGGCTTAAGGCAAAAAAATGGCCGAATCGTGACACGGCTGATAAAAGCACCAAATTTTACATGTGGTTACCTTTTGATATACTAAATCAAATTAGAGCCGTAGCCCACGGAAAAAAATTACCGTTTGGCCAAAAAATCCAAAATGGCCGCCAATTTGTGAAATTCCGTAGAAATATATACATATTTATGTTGATTTTTATCAAATAAAGTATTTTCTCAATGTTTTCCACATCCTTATTACCCATATTATGCATATATGTCATAGAACAAACGAGTGTCCTTGGACTTTATGAAAAATCCAAGATGGCCACCGTATGGCATAGGAATACTAGAACATGTACAAGGGTTTTCAACTAATGCCAACTAGGAAGATGCATTGCCCACTATCTAATTAATTTTGTTTTTGAGTGCCATATTACAGAAATGATATATTTGTGGTGAGTAACTAACCTTTATTCTCAGGCATTTCGAGAAAAATCCAAGATGGCCACCATATCAAAGGAACACTACAGTATACACATAGGGCTTCTTCTGCCATGGAGATATAATATTAATGGATAAATAAGGCTTGTTTCTGATTATTTTCCACATCCTTTTAAACCACATAATGTATATTTGATGAGAATGTTATATGTATCCTTTTTGAAAACAAAACAAAACAAAACAAAATGGCTGCCATTAGCCATAGAAGGTGGGGTTCAGTTAATACCTGCGAGAGATAGGCTTCCAAACAAAATGAAACTAAATTCAGTTGTTTTTCTTGTATTATTATTATTATCCCATGATACATATCTGTTAAGTAATTAATGTCAATATTTGATCATTTTCGAGAAATCCAAGATGGCCTTCTTTTCCCCATAGGAAAACTGGTGCATTGGATTTTATAGGCACTTCTAAGGCAAATCAGGGTAATCATGATATTTTGTCAAAATACTTAAGGGTACACACTTGTTACCCACCAGATAGATATCTCAAAGTCCAAAAAGAATGTGGGAAATACCGAGAAACAAAATTCATTTTATATTGAACCCAATGTCTCTTTGCCACTAGTTGACTGTACTATTCCTATTTTGAATTGCAGCAATCTTGAATTTTCTCAAATACGCAAGATGCACCCTTGCTACACACCAGATTTATGTCAACATGTTTGAACATCAAACGGCTTTATTTCATGTTGGAATCAATGCCTGAACTGTTCCATTAATTGACACCTATGTGCATTTGAATGATATATTCCTATGACAACTGGCAGTTATCTTGGGTTTTCTCTGAATAGTACTCAAGGATACATAAACTCTCTACACACACACAGAGTCTTTCATAAGGATAAATAGGATATAAAAACGATCTAAAGTTAACTACATTTAAATTGTACTCAGTGTATCTCTGGCATTATTTGATTATGTGTATGAATATTCTAATGACAAAAGGCAGACATCTTGAATTTTTTTCAGAATACCCAAAGATACACACATGCTACAGACGAGGTATACATCATGGGGGTAATAATAAATGGAATGAAAAATGTAAATTATTTTTAAAACAAACCCATGGTAATGTAATTGTATAAAGAACCACATGCCTCTCTAGCAGCAATTGAAACACATCCATTAGTATTCCTATGTCAAATTGTAGTTCTCCGAATATCCATGGATGCACACTATTTACCCACCAGATATATATCATAAGACTAATAAGGATGGGCAAAACTTGATAAGCAAACACAATTTCACCCTGGTAGTAGATGAAAAGCCATGGTTGTGCAGTTGCAATTCCAGTAGTATTCCTATGGCCAATGACGGCCATCTTGGATTTTCTCAAAATGATTAAATATGCACATTTATTACCTGCTAGATATGCATCACACTGAAAAAATAAACTTAATTTGATAGTGAATTATGTTTTTCCTAGCTGGCATTAGTTCTAACCCTTTGTAATACTAGAAGAATTCCTATGACATATGGTGGCCATCTTGGATTTTCTCAAAATGCCCTAGAATACATGTTAGTTACTCACCACATACATATTGTGTGGGTGGAAAGGATGTGGAAAACACCCAGAAACAAACTTAATTTGATAGTGGAAAATTAATCTTTCCAGTTACCATTAGTTGAATCCCCCATATACTAGAATTCCTGTGGCACATGGCAGCCATCTTGGATTTCCCAAAATGCCCAAGAACACTTTGTAGTTCCTCACAACAAACATACGTGGGTAACAAAATTCTGAGAAACAGACGTAATTTGATAGTGGACAACGTATCTTTCAAGCTGGTATTAGTTGTGCACTAGTATTCCTATGGCTGTTTCTATGGCATATGACAGCCATCTTGGATATTTTCAAAAAGTCCAAGGGAACTTGTTTGCTATCTGACATATATGAATAAAATGGGTAATTAGGATGTAGAAAACTCTGAGAAAAAAATCTATTTCATAAAAATCAACATGGGTATGTACATATTTCTATAGAATTCCATAAATTGGCGGCCATTTTGGATTTTTTGGCCAAACGGTAATTTTCTTCCGTGGGCTACGGCTCTAATTTGATTTAGTATGTCAAAAGGTACCCACATGCAAAATTTGGTGCTTTTATCCGCCGTGTCACGATTTTTTCCNACACACATCACTGTATTAACAGTATGTCAGCAAAAAACTCAAAACACTGCAGAAATATTAATTTCATGCAGCTTGTAAATCCGCGTACGCTTCGCTGAGAAACGGCGCAATGAATGACGCTGAGCTGCGCGCGCATCTCTCATGTGGAGCCTATTACGTCACTAGACGGTGATGTGGAAATATATATAATCTAGGTTTGTATTTATTATTCTTTACTTATAGTCTATTAAGAATGGTCATGCATTTATTCTTGGCAATATTTACAATTACTCTATATTCATAAATGCTCAAGAAAAAGTGCCTCACTTCTGCCTTGGCCAGGACATAACTTCCATATTTCCCCAGCTTCCATGTCATGCTGAGTAAGAGTTTACTGTCTTCATTGTCTCCCGAGTTCATATATTCTATGGTCAGGGTATTTCCTGAGACGGAGTGCTCCTTGAACCCTGATAAAACTGACATCTGAGACAGAGCCTTGTCATACCTGCAATTATCAAGAACCTTTCAAAAAAAAGACAGATGAGCTATACTAGGTACATTAATTTGATGTTGTTTCTTTGATATACAGTATTAGTGCATATTTCATTAACTAATTACTATCATTATTTAAATAATATTGTAATCAACCCAAAAAATTAGCAAAATGACAACTATAAAACAGTCAGTTAAAAGTCAAACTTAATATACCACTGCAAATCTTGTTTTGCTTTTTGGTCTTCTATTTTCTTAACCCTGGCAACCTCCTCAAGTTCTTTTTTACTCTCTCCTAAAAGTCCTTGCAACCTTTCACTAAGACCTTGAAACTTTATCATTTTCTCCTTTGCTTCATGGGTTGCTTCTTCACATTGCTTTATGGATTCCTGCACTTCTTTAAGTTCCTTTTCCTAAGGACATTGGTATAGGTAAAAAAACTTTATATCAAAATTTGATCAAGATATTTCTTATAGGAACAGACAATCCCATTAGAAAATAAATAAATAAAATTAAAGTAATATAAATGTATGTACTTAATCAAATCATATCATTAAATTTTCTTTTCTCATTTTTTCATACCTTTTAGCATGGATTCATGGTTTCAATGAAATATAGTCTTGTATATGCAAATTAATGTATAAACACTTATGAATTAGAAAGGTCACAAAATAACAATTTACCTTTTCTTTCATATTCAGTGGTAATTGTGGGATTTCATTACTCTCCTTGTTTCCATTAAGTAAGCCTAGTTTCTCATTCAGCATAGCACTATTTTGGAGAGATGCATCTAGTTTACTTTTCTGGAAATAAATTATATACTTAATATGAAAGTACACATTTGTTATACAACTATCTTATGTTTTTCTTATATTGTTTTACTGACACCTACTTTTTCATATCACATTTTTTTTTCTGATTTTTAAAACCAAACCAAGAAATCCCCCGGGCTTATCTTCTATAATATTTTACCAGAATGAAAATTAAAGATAGCTTTCTTTGGAATTTCAAAATTAAAATCTTCTGTTTAATGTGTTTTAATATTTTATGGGTTACCTTTGTCTCAACTTCTTTCATTTCTTCTGTCAAGCTATGCACCCTTTCTGAATAAGTTCTGTATGCTGGAATGAATAAAAAAAAATTAAGAAAAAAAAAGAAATTAAAAAAAAAAGAACATTTGCTTGAATTTTAGTTAATTATAGTTTCCCCCCTTTGGCTGTTAATTCCTATCCATTCACAGTATGTTATTAACTTGTATCCTATTTGGAAATGAACCTGTTCTTGAGTCTATCAATCCTGACCATACATGTCAACTGATACACAGAAAATCTGTCACTATGCTAAAGTGACCTTTAACAACAAAATCAGCTAGCCCTTTAAATGCTATTTTCTGCATAATTAAATAAAAAATTTTCGACAGAATGAAGATGGAATAAAACTGAAAAATTGCCACAGCAATTTATCAAAAAGAGGGAAAAAAATGCGCATCATTTGCTATTACCTTTCTCCACATGGTCTAAGTCTTCCAGTAACTTTGCTTTCTTATCATCCATCTGTTCCTTCAGCTCACGAACATGTTCTCTGCCTGCTTTGAAGTCAGCATCTACAGAGATGAAAGTGTAAGAATATCAAGTTATACCAAATTAACCAATATTTTTTGAGTAAGGCCAATTATCTAATTGAGTCCAGTTGCTATCAGGTAGAAATAAATATATAACGTTTTAGAGGAGATTACTTCTAAAATGCATGTTATGAATAAAGAGATATACACATAATTTATCAAAATAGAATTTGTCAAGTATATTTTCAAAAGAGAATTGTCATTTGTTAATTTTTCTACAAGTTAGGCAGATGATAGAGACCATGTCGCCTTCATAGGTAGACAGTGTGATAAGCCTGTTTACTAAATAGATTGGCATGCTTTGCATTGTTAACCGATAATCTTAATATATTATATCAGACAAAGCTGCAGAAAAATCAAATCTTGTGAATATCTCATTAATAATTAGTATTGATCCATGTACACTATCTGTAAAATCTTTGTCATCATTACACAAGAAACAATAAAAGGTATTTCACTAAAGAAAATGCTATATTCACCTTCCTGTGAGGTATCAGGCCACTTGTCTTCACTTTCTGCTAGGCACTCTAAAAGTTTCAATTTGGACTGCAGTTCAATGGCTGTATTCTTAAGTAAACTGAATTGTTGCTAAAAAATAAGAATTGTTCTTTTAAAAATAATAGTTCTGTTAAAAATCCAATATATTGCATTTAGGTAATCTAGTTAAAGAAAATATTTAGACATCAAAATGTTAAGGAAAAAGAAGATATTAAATTGTTTTACTCGACATTTAAAACTTGGAAGAAAGAAAAGTCTATAACCTTAAGATACCCAAGCTTGACTTTGAACGTTGTGCAAAGATCTCCTTGTTCCAACTCATCTCTCTTAGAAACTAAATCAAACTTCCTCTTCCTCAGGTCTTCAATATTTCTGTAATTAAATACAGTAAACACATATGATGATGTACATATACAGGTACATAATTAATTTAATTACTAATGTTTACTCAGCAGTTATGTATTAAATTGAAATACTAGTACTTCCCCTGGCTCCTTAACCTTTAAGAACACATACACTTATGTCTAATAGTAACACTAGTAAATGTGCAGTGTTAAATAATTGTGACGATTCCTTATTTATCTCATTTACCTCTAAGGAAGTATCAAACATTAGATCCAACACTGAGTGACCGTGGAAGAGACGTACAAATTGAGTAAAATAGGTTTCATATTTTGTAACTATAAATGGCGTTTTTCGACGTACCCCTTTATCTCCTGGAGCTTATTTGGGTGTTCACTTGCCATCTTGCTGATTTTAATGAAATGCTTTACAATGTTTTGAAACAACAAGTGGACAGCCTTCTCATATTTTTGCGCCCTCAATTTACGCATGCGTTGGCATTAAATGGGTCATTCAAGATAAGCCCGCGCACGTTTGGTTTGCAGGTTTTTGGAGCAGCAGGAAGATGGGTAACGTTGAAATGTAGTGTTATTGTTGTGTGAAGATGTGATGAAAGTCTAAGGCAACTGTAGATGCACAACTGTCTAAATTATGTCAGTTATCACACGAAACAGAAGAGAAAATGCCGAGGACAGAAAATGATCGAGATGGAGAAAAACTAAAAAGGGACGAGAGACACAGATCAGCAACAGACTCGCATCATAGTAGACACAGACACGATAGAAACAAAAAGAAGCATAAACACAAACATGGGCACAGAGGGAGAAGCAGGTCTTCAAGTAGGAGTGGTAAAGACAGGGAGGAGAGAGAGGCTCACAGATCTAGAGAAAGTTGTTCTACTTCACCCCACAGAAGAAAACAAGAAGACAGACATGATTCTAAAGACAGATATGATTCTTCTCCAACTCTGTATATAGACAGGCACAAGGAAAGAAAACAGTATGGGGAGGATGAGAAAGTTGTTGAAAATTCAACTACATATTTGAAGCACAAACATGAAACAGAAGCTACAACCTCTGTAACACAGGGTGACCATTCACAAGAAGTGGTTGAGAGCTCTTCAGAAAGTGAAAAGGAATTTGATGATTTTGACTTCGAATGTGAAAAATCAACTCTTGACAAAATGTTCTTTAGAGAAGATGACCTAATAAAAAGGTTTGTCATTAAGAATTAAGCAAAGAATGGATATAAACACCTAAATTGAATTTGAACTGATAAGGAACACAACAAAGGTGTTGAAGTTGCTGCTAAATGTTTGTCACTCACAGCTGCATGAAAATTTTTAGCAGTCATTCTTTTCAAGTCATATTTATAATAATTGGGTTTTAATCTTTAGGGGCTCACAAGATTATAATGACTTCTGGGCATTCCTGAAGAAGTTCAAGGCTTTTAACAGGAAGAAAGCAATGCAGCAAAAAGGTACCAAATGCTGCCTCATTTGCAGATTTAGAATTGACTTATATTAATATTGACAAATTTGACATATTATTGCTAATTGTTTTTTGGTTATTTATCTGGTTAAAATTGGTTAAATGCACCTATATTAATGGATAAGAATGATTCACATTATAGAATCAGATATGCCTAAAAGAAAAAATGTAAGATTGCAAGAATGTATATATGAAAACAATTTGATTTTTTTCTTATCATATTCTTTTTTTTTTTTTATTGTTTAGTTTTCATATTTGCATTTCAAGATATTCTTTTTCCAGGTAACAGATCTAAATCAAATTTGAAAGAGAGCAAGTTAGGTATACCAATGAAGTATGACAAAAGATACAAGATCAATCTCTCTGTGGCAACTAAGGACATGGAAGATATGTTGAAGTATGGAAGAAGTAAGCACAAAGGTAAAAACCCATTTGAAATTCTTACATCTTGTCTAAGATCAACAGTAACAACCCTAGATTTCTGCAAATGAGATAAGTTAATTTTGACAATAGCAATTTCGCAAGAAAAGATGCATTTTCAGGTATCCTTTTATTCCAGAAAAATCTCAATTGAACAAGGAGAGGATAGCTGAATTTAGAAGCATCTTGTTGCATTACTTTGATTTTTGCCAGAAGCAGAAGGTAATAGAAAACAGACCATTTAATAAAAAAAATAACATTTTATTTATACATTGCATTAGTCATTCTTATTTTTTAACTTTTATTATTGTTTTGACTGCCATTTTAATAGAGTTTGATATAAAGCTAGATCTAGAGGGTTTACTAATTTCTTGTGCATTTTTGGCAAAGGCCCTACAGGTTTTCCCCTACTTAGCAAGTATTTGATATTTTCCTGTCCATTGTAAGTTTCACTGTAATACCTAATAGGTTCTTTAAATAGATCATTTAAGGCACATTGTCTGTTGCACACCAATAAAAATTTGAAATACTTCTCAGAATTTCCTCATTATTTTTCCAGTTTTCAAAATTAATTAAGATAAAGAAGGACCAGCAAAATCTGCCCATATATCAGTATAAGGAAAAGATAATTGAAACACTGAAAGAGTACCAGGTAATTGTGGTGGCTGGAGACACGGGCTGTGGAAAGTCAACACAGGTATGTACTTAATAACAGGTGTCCCTAAATGTCTGTGTTAACAATTTAAGGTCCATGTCTAATTTCTGCTTTCTTGCTGTCATTTTCTTTTACTAAACTGCTGATCTTTGGGTCCAATATGGTATTCATGACTCAGTTTTAAGTTTTCAAATCAAGGTGTGTTATTTGTTGAAAATATATAAATTTTCTGTTGTTATTCTAGGTTCCCCAGTACTTATTACAAGCAGGCTACACTAACATTGCCTGCACCCAACCCAGGAGAATTGCCTGTATTTCTCTCAGTAAAAGAGTGGGTTATGAAACACTGAATGAATATGGATCAGAAGTTGCCTATCAGGTACGTAGAGGGACATGTTAATAAAACTGCTTAACTTGGTTAAATCTGCATATTTTATTAAAGCGTTCAATTCCCGACTAAATCAAATTGTGTTATCTATACTGTTGCAAGTTACTTTATTGAATGGGAAATAGACAGATATTACCTTTCTTTATAGGTTAGATTTGAAAGATCCAGAACAAGAGCCACCAGAATAATTTTCCTGACAGAAGGTACCTTTGAATTCCCTTACTTTACTATATTGGGTTCTCATTGTATAATGGTTAAATTTTAGATTAAAGGGATAGATGAATCTGAGAGAGAAAGAGAGAGACAGATGTACACGTTTGATCTGTTAAGTAACAAGATAATTACAGAAACTGATGGTTTTGTTTGAATATATAATGAAAAAAGATGCAACCTTAACCTGCAAAATATAATTGATTTCTTATGAATACACAATATTTGTTGTTGAAGGTCTATTACTAAGGCAGATGACAACGGACCCTTTCCTTAAACAGTACAATGTCATTGTAATAGATGAGGTAGGCTGAATAAAATTAAATAATGGATAGAATTATAATATATACCCTACATTTTATTACTAATATTGCAACCATTTTACTTCTATAGATTTGAGATTGGGAGCAATTGTCCTATTTCTTACTCTTTTCTTTGGTTTGGAGGTCAAAAAGTATTAGGGAAGAAGTTAAATAATGAAATGGTTCTGAATTGAAGCAGGGCACTGGAGGTCATTGTATGAAGCTGTTTATGTAGAGATCATTAAAAATGAAATATAGAATATTGTGGATGCATAAAGATTTTTTGTCATCTTTACCTAAAGAAAAGCATTCTATCTTTTGATTTGGATCGGTCAAAAGTAATGTACATTATTGTGATATGAGTGCATTTTCCAATTTGTGCTTGCATCATTTTAAATCTCATGTTTTTATTGCATATTTGGTGATTTTCTATGAACACATTTCCTAAAATACTTACATCTTAGTCATGTCTGTACTTCAGGTTCATGAGCGTCACATCTACACTGACTTCTTGCTTGGTGTTGTCAAGTGTCTACTTCAGCATCGGGATGACATCAAAGTGGTCCTCATGTCAGCCACCATCAACATTGACATGTTCAGTGGATACTTTGATCATGCCCCAGTCATCAAGGTACAGCCCAGAACTTTATAATTATTAAAATTGAAAATATTGCTTAAATAAAGAGAAGGACATAGACTCATTATCTTACATCTTGAGAATATGCTTTTGACAAATCTAGATATATAGAATTTATTTTACAAGTATTTGAGAAATCAACCATTTACATAGTGGAATGATTAAGTTAGTATTTATTTAGGTGCCAGGGCGTCTGTACCCTATACAGTTGCAGTATCACCCCATTGACCAAGCAGATAAAGAGGAAAAAAAGGGAAAAATTGATCCATCACCTTACCTAAAGATAATGCAAATGATAAATCACAAAGTAAGTATTTAGTCCTGCTTACATTATCATTATGATTATATCAATATTTATTTTCAAAAAAAAAATGGTTTGAGCATTTGAATATTTTGAATTGATAAACATATTAATAGAATACATATATGTTGCTCCATTATCTGATGCTGTTGGTGTAGCACTGTTTACAAAGCTGCTTACGTCACATGGCAAGGACGTTATATCTAATTTGACTCAAAATTATGCAAATAAGTGTGCTGGACTATGGTATTGTAGTTTGTGAAAGCATCTCATAACCTTAATTTATAAACAACTAATTGCGCACTATTTGGCTCCTGTTTTAGTACCCAGACTCTGAGCGCGGTGATCTTCTGATATTCCTCAGTGGCATGGCAGAGATCATGACATTGGTGGAGGCAGCTAACATGTTTGCTCAGAAATCCAAGAGATGGATTGTTCTGCCTCTTCACAGTGCTCTCTCAATCTCAGAGCAGGACAAGGTGTGTATGGCCCAGTGTGTAGTGAAATATAAGAAAGGAAAGTCAAATAAAAAGATATGTTCACTTGATAGATTCATGAGATTTCAGAAATAAAAGTGTTCATTTGTTTTGATCAAAGTTTCAGCCATTTTCTGAATTTCAAAATTTCATTTTCTCTTAGAGGTAAGATATGCTTAATGCATACTATGATATATTTATCTTGAATTGCAGTATTGAAATATATTTCTAAATGAAAATTATGATTAAGTGTATCTTTTTTGTTCCCAGGTTTTTGATTATCCTCCTGAAGGCATTAGAAAGTGCATTATCTCAACAAATATTGCTGAAACATCAGTCACCATTGATGGTGTCAGGTTTATTGTGGACTCTGGGAAGGTAGGTTATTAACTTCCAATCAGCATAGGTCAGGATAGTAGATTCTTCTCTATTTACATTTAGGTTCATTTCACTGAATCATCAAAATTGAAGCGTTTTTTATCTTCCTTAGGTCAAAGAGATGAGCTATGATCCTAAGTATAAGATGCGTAAATTGCAAGAATTCTGGATCAGTAGAGCTAGTGCTGAGCAAAGAAAAGGCAGAGCAGGTAAATTTCAATAATA